TAAGTTTTTGAATTAAGGTCCATCTAGAAGAAAAGGTCAAAGAATCTACAGAATCATTCGGTTCTGGTATCGACAAAAGTGGAGCTCCTATTAGGAAATGACCTGGAGTCAGAGGCTGAAGACCTAGAGTCACAGGCTGAAGTCCCGATGAGTCCGGATAAACGACTTTTGACTGTATTAGCCTCCCATAATCTGCCAAAATGCGAGGAAGAAGGAGGAATAAATCTTCATGTTATACCTTCTTCAGAACTAAAGTTCTGAATAGGATCCGATCTGCAAATTCACAGGAGTTTATCAAGAACATTCTTCGTTCCCTTGAAGTTCGTAGCGTTATCACTCCAAACAATGGATGGTTTGGATCGTCTGGCAATAAACCTTCTAAGACATGCTAGAAAGGCTTCATTACACAAATCTGATACTACTTCTAGATGAATAGCCTTTGTACTAAAGCAAATAAATATCACAATGTATGATTTTAAAGTAACCCTAGACCTTTTCAAATTAGGCTTGGTGATAATTGGACCTGCAAAGTCCTATTTTTTCGAATGGTCTAGTTATTACAACTGTATCTCTAGGTAAGTCTCCCATCATTTGGTTTATGGTGTGGTTCCTTGCCCGAAAGCAAGTCATGCATTTATTTATAACGCGTCTAACTCTGTCTTGTCCGGAAGGTATCCAGTATAATTGTCTAATAAGAGAAAGTGTTGTTTGAACTCCCGAATGAAGAGATTTTTTATGATAATAATCTATAAGTAATTCAGTGAAATGATGTCTTTTGGATAAAAGAAGTTGATGTTTCTGATCTTCTGAAAGATTGGAGAAACGTAGTCTCCCACCAACTCGTAAAAGTTCATCTTTATCAAGAAATACATTTAAGGATAAAACCTTACTATTACTTGGAACTGATCATTTCGACTGCAGGCACTTAATTTCAGGTTGAAATTCAGAATGTTGTACACATTTGACTAGCACCTTTGTTGCATTCTGTAATTCAGAAGCACTCAAAAAACTTTCTTTTCTTAATGGTGGATTGGTTCTACAATTGTTCGCAAACCTTAAAATACCATGCAGTAGTTCTAATCAATTTGCTAAATGACAAATACCTTTTAATGAATTTTTTCTCAATGGAATTTTCACCTGTGACTGTTGAGATCACTACAGCTCCTCTTCGAAGTTCAAACTCTTCATTATCTTTGAAATCTCTTACTGAGTCTGCAAGTTTAGGCCACGAATCGATGCTCTGTAATAGCCACTTAGGTCCATGCCACCACATGTCACTATTTCGTAGTTCAGAAAACATTATTCCTTTCATAGAATTTGTCTCCGTTCCTCTGGTGAGCATATCAGCAGGATTTTCATCTCCAGGGCAATAATTCCAGGACTCAGGTAATGTCTTCTCTCGTATTTCCATTACTCGATGTTGGATGAATGGCTTCCATTTATTTAAATTGCCCTTTATCCAATGTAACGTCACAGAAGAGTCTGACAAAAAATATACATTCATCTGGAGTCTTTTCTCTAACTGTTCTTTCACATTTGAGGCTAATCTTGTTCCGATAAGTGTTCCCATCAGCTCTAGTCTTGGAAGGGACAGTTTCAGTGGATCTACTCTGGTTTTGGAAATGGCAAAACTACTTCCTATTTCACTGTCCTTCGTGACGTATCTCAGGTATATTACAGCTCCATATGCCTTCTGACTTGCGTCGATAAAGCAATGCATTTGAATATCTCTCAATTCAGACTTGTTAGTCTTTCGGAAGTAATGTCGCGGAATGTTTACATCCTGAATCGCTGACAGTTCATTAGTCCATTTTTTCATTCTGTTTTCAAAGTCCAATGGTAACAGATCATCCCAATCTACTTCCAAGTTGCCAAATTTCCTGCATTAGTATTTTTGCCCTAATAGTGAATGGACTTATGAATCCAGAGGGATTATAAAGCTCTCCAATGGTTTTAAGAACTTCTCTTTTTGTCATTAGCTTTGTTTTCCCTTGAGCTTGATTAGTTAGACTTTGTGATTTTATCTTCAGAAAGTCTTCCTTGTAATTCTATTTATATCCCAATACCTTCTGGATTTCACCATTTTTGTATTCATCAAAAACTTCCTGCAGATTCGCGCAGTTTGTTTTCCATTCTCACATGTTGAAACCAGAAGCCTTCAAAATAAATCTAATATCTTCATATATGAGTTTAGCTTCGTTTTCGTCTTCATCCCCACCTATTAAATCGTCTTCGTATAAACATTCGTTCAATAGTTTAACTGCTTTCTGATTTGTTTCTTTAAAGGTATGTAGATCCAAACAAAACACGAGTCATCCTAAGTATTTTCGTGTTAGGTTTCCCATCCTTATCTGTAAGGTTATTTGCCACAAAAATCTTACAGCATCCCTATCTTCAGGTGACAGAGAAATCTGGAGGTTCCTTGCACTACTTAATTATATGCTGAGATTTTTGGCACAAAGAATATCAGGCTTGAGATTTCAAAATATTTCCTTTCTCTTCCATGGTTTTAATTTCACAGCATCATGTTTCGGAATCATGTAGTTTGTCACAATACATGCATTTACTCCTAGCGACTGGAGCAATATATTCATACGTTTTAGGCGAACTTTTTCAAACTGTTTACTGCGCTTGTTGTTTACAATATCGTGAACGGAGTGGAGACGATCATTTGATTTATGCCTCCAGTTATGAATCATTTCCGCTCGATGTTTTGTTTTTGTTTCTCCGTCATTTAACTGCATAGCTCTTTCGCAGCTTTCGATTTCTTTACAAATAAATTCCATCAATTTGTTAACGTTCCATGTTTGGTCACTGTTTCTACTGCAACTGTATTCTAATGTTATCTCTGATAGAATTAATTTTAACAATATTGGACAAAGTAAACTATAAGTTTCTGATACCACATTCATTGATTTTAAGCATCTAATTTGAGTTTCACACTTATCATATAAATTCCTAAGATTTTCTATATCTCTTACATTTTTAACAGGGAAAAGATTTAACAGTTTATTCATGTGAGCATTTATTATGTTATGTTATATAGAAGTGAGGGGGCCACCTAATATTAACCCTAAGTAAGAAACTATTAGCCCCACAAAGTAACTAGAAAACTAACAACATTCTGGCATCATTCCTCGAGTCGTGATGGAAAATGTGAGCATTTACTACCAAATCTTTTCTCCCAAACCTGTTAATTAACAATTCTATAGCTGAATCATAATTCTCATTTGTAAGTGAAAGACCGGAAACGGCATTATAAGCTACCACACCTAGTAATGACTTTAAGTAACTGAACTTATTTACTTTCGATAATGAGTCATTGTTATGGATAGCTCCCTCGAATTGACTCCAAAATTCCTGCCAATTGCTAGAATCACCAAAAAATTTAGAGATAGTCAATTTTGGAAGGTGAGTAAATTTATTACTTTCAATTTAGGAATCTACAGCGGTTTCATTAGAAATGTTCATACTTTCCTTATCCGAATTTTTGAGGTCATGTAATTCCCTCAATTTTTTCCTTGCTCTAAATTGCCACAGTTGGATTTTTTCTTCATATTCTTGAGCGGGTGAAACATCAAGTTCAAATTCATCCTCTGAGACCTTCAAATCCTGTTCTATTTGAGTGTTTAAATTACTCAGGGTTTTTGCTTTTTCGTTTAATATGTCTAAAGTTTCTTCTATTACATTTATACTAATGTCATCTTTGCTTGATTCTGTCTCAATTTTTAGTACCTTGGACACTGCGGTCCTCAATACTTTGTGTTTCGAATTTAAGGCTTAGCGACAGGATCTTCCATAATTACACTTTAAAATAGAAAACTTATCCTACCTGTTTGCAGGCTTCGCACACTTCACATCGTGCTAATCCATACTTACGAATCCATATTTTCGAATATTAGTCGGCTTCCCGGCACACAGCACCAAAAATGTTTATATACGCACTAATGTACACTAATCAAATAATGTGAATAATTATTCGAAGTTCAGATTTTGAGCGTGAAGGTGCAGTTGCCCCTCGCTCCCTATTTTTATTTTCGCTAATTTTTCTTGTCCTTTGTGTTACATGTTTGATCAGATAGCCTGGCTGAGTAAAAGTAGGCGGCCAGTGTAACTCTGATTAAAAATTCCGGTTATAATCACGTGCAGTGCTGATAAGGACCACGTGTTTCTGAGACTTCTTCCCCTTTATTTTTCTTCTTTCTAGGTATTTCTTTCTCCTGATGAGGAGGGACCTTTAGCTGCCCTCGAAATTGATTGTTTCAATATACTTACGCTAAATACAAGGTTATTTTTACGATTTTGATTACTTGAGCCAGCTTAAGTAGACTATGTTGAGTGTAGTCTCAGCCTACATTACTTGAATTTATGCTACCAGTTTCATGTTATTTGAAATGCCCACAAGTGGTGTGGTTTTATCTGTTACACAAGTACAACCTTCAGTTAATTTCAAGAGTTCAATAAAAAGATTATTTAAACTTTAGTAAGAGTTTGTCATCCTAATTCAAACTAGACAGACTACTTGCTTGTCAGTCAGAATGACAGTAAGTCATTCTTGCTGTCATTCTTAAGTTAACTTCAAGACATAGCAGAAACCTGCAAACTAAGACGTTTTAGAAATTACATTATGACATTCAATACAAATGAACTCAAAAGCTAATAATGTGTGAAGAACTTAAATCAAAATATGCCAACAAAACTGAATTTTTTCTAAAGCTGTATTCACTAATTACAGATTTCAGTACGAAATAAAGTGACTGAATTCAGCAATTAAATATACTCGCTTATAATTTAGAAATGTATAAGGCAGACGTTATTGTTATTGAGCAGAATATGATGTAGGTTCCTGTATTTTTGCTATTTATTTTGGATTTTTTATGCTTACAGCACACAAACTTTTAACATAAAAATAAGTACTTTCAAAACTGTTTCATGTTTGCTCATGTATTTTCAAATACTCTACTCAAACATACACAAAATTTAATGCAATAGCTACTCACCTAAGAAGATCAGATAAATTCTTCGAAAAATTTGTTAAAAATGGGAGAACATGCATTTGTGCAAGTTGTTGCCATATATCTGACATGTTCTTTGAAAGCAAGCCAGCTATATCAAGGAACATAGCAACCAGCTCCAGAGAGGGTAGAGAACTATTTATATACCTGTGAAATGGAAAAAGAAAGTCAATTCCTAATCTTTTAAAACACAGTACTGAAATTTCATTAATTAAATCTTAAAGAATACAAGAATTATTTTAAATGGTTTCTATCAACAAAATTCATTGTAATTTAATCATAGATGCACAAAACAAATCTCACCTTTGAAAAATTGAAAAAAGAACATTTATTAAATGACTAAGGTGAAATCGCATTTCCAAATTTGTTTTTAGAATATTAAGTACAAGTTTTCCAACAGCTTCTATTCGCTGCACACTTACAGGTGCTGGGAAAGCTAAAAGAGAAAAGACACTTTTTTTAAATCTAATGCAGGGAAGACATAATTAAGTAGCTGGAAAACAATTAGAAGCAAAAAAAAATATATTGGGTCAGTCCATAAATTTGTGCACAATTTTTGTTAAATTTTTAAATAATATTAAAAAAAACACAATTTAACATTTCAATCAATTATATATTTTCCTCCATTATCTACAATCCATCTTACAGGCAGCTTTTTTATGCCATTGCTGTAGAAAGACTCTGGTTTTGATGCAAAAAAAACTTGAAAGTTCATTGTGTATATTCCCTGTTTAGAATTTAATTTTTTTCCCAGTAAAACATTCTATAGGGCACGAAATAAGTGAAAATCACTTGGGCCAATATCTGGGGATAGTCAGCAGGATGTGGCAAAAGCTCCCAATTAAATTCACGCATTTTTTGCAGCGTTATTCGAGCCGTATGCAGGTCTAGCATTATCACAATGAAACAACACTTTCTCAATATTCACCTATCGTGGGCGAATCTTTTGATCCATTCTGAGTTTAGACGGCAAATTAGATTGTTTACTATAAACTTCTGAATGAATCGTTTGATTTGGTTCTAACAGTTCAAACGTTCCTGAATGAGGGTTCATCATCCAATGCTGCTTTTCCAAATTTAAATTTTTTAAAACCATTTCTGGGCAGTCCTTACACTAATAGTGTGTTCACCATGTACACTATTAATTTTTATCGCTGCAAACCTGGCAGATTCACCACATGAAAATAAAAAATGTAGCACAGCACATTTGTACTGATTATCTATATTCATTTTCTATGGGTACTAAAATGCGTTCAATATTTACGAAAGTTGGTGATGAAATGAATAATATGTTAGTCAAACGATGACAAGTTTTCACAGGTTCAAAATTGTATTGTTTTAGTAAATGTGTCAGTGAATTCCACACATACTGTTAATGCACACGAACTTATGGACTGACCCGATAATTTATTTCTTTGCAAGAGACATATATTTCCTCTGTACTGTTATTTCAGAAATGAAAGAAAAATAGGTAAATCTTTGCATATATTTTAACACAATAGTTTTATAAAAGACTGGTTTTTAATTTAATGAAATACAAATTTAAAAGTAAGTAAATTCTACACTGAAAAGTTCAAATATAACATGAAAATATGGCATAGTTTAAATCTAAAACAAATATATGCATTTAAAAAAACTATATCTTGTGATGCTGTATATGAGATCTAATTAAAAAGATGATGTAAAACTACCTGAAATGCGAAACTGCTTCACTGATTTAATAAAAGCAATAAAAATTGTAATATTATATTAAATTAATAATGATGAGAAAAATAATGCATATTACTTATTATCAAACATAGTTATTTATGAACCTTACTTGCTTGCAGTTAGATACATTGTCTATTAGTAATGGTTTTGTTTAGTTTATTATGGCAAAGCACACGGGCTATCTATTTAAGGGAATGGATGCCTTTGTGAAGGACTTTCTAATGAAAATAGCTAGTACACGCATTACACATGCAGAAAACTTTGAAAACGCCAATGCAATCAGCCTATTCATTTGGATTAGAACTAAGGTCAGAACTACCAGTGTTCAGCGATTTTACAGCTTGGCCACTGGTGATTGGCCATCACTAATACAGATTAGTAATGCAATTCATCTCACGTGTCATTTATGATTTTTATAAAGAGTTATTGATTTTAAAAGAATCAAAATTATCAATGATTTTCATAAAAATAGATTTATGTAAATTTCAAGGAGGAGACAAATGATTTCAACTTAATAATGAATTACACTATCATGAAACAATTTAAAATTTAAACAGTATATTAACTTAGTTAGAAGTTTAAATACCTAAGCTGAAAGCCATTTCCTGAAGCTTTATATGCATTTCTCTTAAACAAATCTGCCATCCATTTACAGTTACTTTCCACTGAATAATAGATGCACCATTTTTATCTAAAAAGAAATTAAACAACTTAAATCAACACAACCTTAATTAGAATTATAAAAATATGAGAGAAAGAGAATAATTTTTATTTGTTCTTTTTTAATACAATTTAAATTCAAAAATGGTTAATAAATCTAACCTGCATCTTTAACCACAACACCAAGTGTTCCCTCTGGTATCAAAAGGTTGTCTATTAAAAAACATTAAAATTTTAAGGTATTTCAGCATAAAAAAGTATAAAAACATATAAAACACCTTAATGTACTATATATATATATATATATGTGTGTGTGTATAGATCTTTATATGTGTATATATATATATATATAAAGACAAAGTAAGAAATTTAGAACTAATTTCTCACAAAGATCAAAAATTGAAATTCATAATTAATAAATTTCATATAAGAGAGTGCTTGAAGTTCTTAACTATTTATTTCTTGTGTGTTTTAATTAGGTTTTTTCAACTATGTTTTTTAATTTCACTCATGTTTTAGTCTTTGGATTATCTGTTGAAAGGTAAAAATTTGGGTTTAAATTTTTCAGTAAAGTATTTTGTTTTTTCACTTTCGTTTTCAATTCTTTTAATAAAATAGAATTATCTTTATTTAAGGTTATTCTAATTAGAATTTATTTTGTTTTTGCCTTACTTTGAAGAAGAGCCAGAATTTTCGGATGAACTATTATAATTAAAATACATAGAAATGGTTCATCGGTTAATTATGAATTCAGAAAAGCAAGGATTTTTGTAGAAGTGAAATTTCAATTGATTTCAATGTCCCCACCCCCGAAGAAGTAGCACTAAAGTTGATTGAATTCCTCTTCTGTTTTTGGTAATTTTTCTTTAAATTTCATTGAATTTTTTAAATTCTTTGTTGCATTTATAAGATTATATAAAATTTATTAATTATGAATTTCAATTTTTGGTCTTTGTGAAAAATTAGTTCTAAATTTCTTACTTTATATCTTTAATGATAATTTTTCTACAACTTAATATGGGAAAATACTAGGCATGTTTAAAATTTTGCTTTCAAAAGAATTGTTTTGTAATTATATATATGTGTGAATATATTCAAGCCAAAAAAAAAAAAAAAATTAAATAATGATAACTGCAATTTTCAAAAATTCAACTTTTATTGAAAAATTAAAGTAGCTTATAAATAAAAAGCAGATTAAAACAAGTAAGTATCTTACTATCACCATAAACTGGTTTAGATTTTATTGACTGCCAAACACATAGCTCTTGAGTTGCAATGATATCTCTCTCATCTACATTTTCCAGGTACTCAGTAAAAACAGGTAAGCATTTTATTCTCTCTATAACCTTAAAATAAAAAAATTAAACAAAAATATAGCTCAAAAACAGATCTTTTAGAGAAAGTTTTAAAAAAAAAAAAAAAAAAGAGAGAGATTCAATAAATTTACAAATTTTATTAAAAAATATCAAAGGTTTGTTAAAATTCCATACTCTTTAAAATTAGGGAAGAAAAGAGAAAAAAAGAAATTTCATTCAGTTTTGATTAATCACATTATTCTGATAACTCTTGGAACACATTATTTAATAACTCTTGGCAAATGAATTTTGAAAATTATAGAATAAAATGGTTAATTCAAATTGCATTCTCAAAACATAAGTATCAAACACTCTTTCAATATTATTTAGGAGATTTATGTTATCTTTGCTGAAGTAGGAAATTTTTGCATATATAAAACTGTTCAGTTACCTGAATTTTCAGAGTTATGAATAAATTTTAAAGAACGTGATTCTAGTTATTAGGGATCAGAAATGTACTTAGTTATTAGAAATCAGGAATGTACAGCATGTATGTGAAGTGAAATAAGGCAGTATACTCAGTAAACTAAAACACAGTGATTACGATCTGTTGAAAATTAAATCTTTAATTAAATAAAAACATAGAATCTTTTTAAAGACATTCACAAACAAAAAGAAGATACACAGAAAAATAGCATTTCATGGCAACAATTTTAAGAAAAAATTTCATTTCTCTTAAAATTCTTTTTATTTTTTAGAAAAATTTATTTACATGTGTATTTGAATATGCATAATGCAATAACACAGACTTTTGTCCTGGAGGAAACCTTAAAATTCAATCAATGATCTACATTTCATAAATACCTAACATAAAGCGAAAAACAATTATTAATATCTCTTTGTATAATTTTTATTCTACTTATTAGCTTATTTAACCTGCCCACATAAAATATTTACCAAAGATAACAGCATACGCAAAGAAAATTATTATTATTATTATTATTTTCACATAACTAACAGTACTTTACTTCTTAATCATTTACGTAGGTTACACCATATTTTCACCAAATAAAATGCTTATGAGATAATGGAATATGTGAAGTAATTTTTTATAATTTAAGTTCAATATCTTATTCTTTACATGGTAGAAGACAACTGATACCTATCAGCCTGTCAAAGTATCATCAGTAGCAGTTAATTATCCAGACTTTGGTTGACCTTACAAGTGTTTTATATCTTATAAATAAAATTGGACTTTGATACTTGATAAAGCACTTCAATCATTTCCCTAATATACATTTCCACTACCTGTACTTATAAAATGACCTAATTCAAATATAAAAAGAAACGCAATTTTGATTTTCACTATGGCAATAATTACCCTATAATCTTTTTCTAGCAACTTAAGAGTATTTTTTATTTTAACTAAAATTTTAGACATATTAAAAACTAAGTTTTTGTCTGAATATGAATCACTTATACATATATGAGACATATATGTATTTATATGTATGAGAGCATACATTTTACATGGAAAAAAGCATATTACATGAGATCTCAAGCAGTTAATAATTAAAGTGAAAGCATGAAAAAGATCTCTCTAAAAAATCTGAAATTTAATATAGATATTCTGTCTGTAAAAAGAAAATTTGAACTTGTTAAAAGATGAATATATTCAAACCTTCAAACAACTATCTTCACTGGCAAGGGCAAGAGATGCACATATATTTAAAAATGGACAAAACTCAATTGCAAACATTTCCATACAATAGTTGAAGAGTTCTCCAGTACCACTTTCTGTACCCTAAAATATGTAAATACACTTTATTAGCAAACAGTGCATCCTGATGCACAAAAACTACAGAATGTAGTAGCACTCCAAAGAACAATCACAGTTAAAAAAAAAACACTAGCTGCCACCAAAATATTTTGAAAACATATATACACTAATGTTTGTGAAAAATGCAGCACCATGAAGGAATTGTCACAAATGAATGAAATTTATTTCACATATTACTAATAGTGGTATAGATAAATGATAAAATTTACAAGACAAAAAACAAAATGAATGTCAGAAAACGGTACTTTGTATGACCGCCACACTGAGTGGTAAGAGCCTGTACACGTCATGACATTGAATCAAACAGGCTCTGAATGTAAACCTGGGAAATGGTTTGGCATTCCATATGGTTAGACTTGATGCCAGAGTTCAGTCTTAGTGTACACCCCATCAACTGTACGAGTGAATCACCAACCAATGAAATCCCAGACATGCTCAATGGGCAACATAGGGAATAAGCAGGCCATGGAAGAAGCAAAACTTGTTGTGCCTAAAAGAAGGCTTGTGCATTCTGAGAAACGTGCACAAATATTATCCTGCTGAAATACAGCGTCCAGAATGTATCAAAAAATGAGAATGACCTCTGACTCCACAACTTTCCTTATGTCCCTTATTCTGCACTGCATGGAATTGACAATTATACCCAATAGCTTCCCATATCATGATGCCAGGTGTTTTGTGCAGTACGATGCTGGAAAACACAATGTGGGAGCAGACGTTCCCTTTTGTAATGTCCGGCGCGCACTCTTTTATTATTGTACTCTAGATTGTAGCAAGATTCTTTGAAGAAAACAACTTTTTGCCACACGGCTGCCATGCATTGTGTTGCAGTGCCTGCTGAAGTCGGAGACATCTGTGGGCAACAAGGGAATCCTGCATACAGGAACCCTCGCATGCAGTTTACCTTGCAGCAGGCATCAACAAACCGTGGACAAGACAAAATGATGTAAAAGCAAAGTTTAAAGTTATAAAAACATTTAGAAGAAATAGCAATAGAAGCTCCCTAAGATTATATATTGTGCAGACATAGAAGACAAAAGTTTTAAACTTAACCAATTTATTAACAATATATATAAAAATACAATAAATAAATTTAATCAACACCAGAAACTTAAAAGAGTGTAACATTATCATTGTCAAATTACACTTAGTTGACTATTCATTAACCCCAAGGGTTTTTCCTTTAAAGAATATTACACTATTAATGATACAGCAAATATATTACCTGATCTTTGAATACTGGCATTCAATATGCGAAAAACATATCACAGAACAAAAACTATGCAGTTAATATAATTTCACTTCACTATAAATAGGTCCATGCTTTTTGGTCAAGAGGCACCTGAAAATTAAACTAAACCTTGGTGCACTTGAACTGCGAAAGCCGCTCACTGTAGTTGCTCACAAGAAATCACAGGTTGGAAAAACATTACCGCTAGTCCTGGAAAAACACTTGTATTGAAGATGCCGACTTCATGAAAACAGGATGCCGCCCACGGCAGTTGCTCACCGGAAATCACAGTTTGGAATTTGACGTTGCTTAACTTTGCAAACAGGATGCCGCCCACGGCAGTTGACTACCAGGAACCACAACTTGAGATCTATCGCCACCGAACCGTAGAAACAGGATGCCGCCCACGGCAGTTGCTCACATCGTAGCCGCCTTGCAGAATCCAGGAAAAATCATCTCGGACCGGAACCACAGCACTTATCGCTGGACGGCACGCATCGCAATAACGTCTTCCAATGAGGGCTGGAACGACACGCCAAGGAGCAATGAAACAGGAACCAGAAGGAATAAGCCAGAAGCGAGCAAGATACGATACCTGAATAGACATGATTGTCATCTCACGGACCAATCAGCTATCAGCACAACTCAGCTTCCAGATGACGTATTTTTGCTCTAATAGCAACAGTACGTTCTAATACAAACAGTGGCAGTGAAAAAGGATTAGAAGTAATTGCTATATTCCTCTAAAATAAGAACTAAACCTTGTGTGAAAGTTAGAATTATTTCAAGGAGGAGAAATGATGCAGAAAAAGGGTTACAATAGGTCATATTTTCCAACACAACGCCTGTAGTCATGCTCCGATGTTGCGCTAACACACAAGAGGATGTTGCACAGTCTGTCATACACAGGCAGATGACATGTCTCTCACCCCGTGGCATTGTGCATGCCTCATTGCTAGAATTTCGATTTATTTGGTTCTGTCCTGCCCATTTTTTCCAAACACTCATCATTGTTGTGGCATTGATCTGAGTGCAGGCTGCGATTTCTCAATACAAAAGTTCACCTTCTCACATACGGACGATGTAACCTCGTTCAAACTCGTTATTGGTATGGCACCCTCCGCTGTTTACAAGGCCTACTGACCACTAATTAAACGTTTGCCGCAGACAGAGGACAATAAACAGATTTCAATTCAACTTTACAATCCTTTATATAAATTTACAAGTGGATGGTTCTTATTCCACGCATGTGCAATTGCTCTGCAATTCTAATCATTTGCATGGCTTATCTCACTTTACATTTCCTGTAAGTTTGGTTCAATTTGCATAATTCCTTCATGGTGTTGCAATTTTCACAAACATTTATGAATTTATTCTGAGAAGATTATTAAAATAAAGTTTGCAACACCAAATTTATTTAGTCAATACATATTTATCTAATTATTCATGGAATAAATTTTCAACAATATAGTTTTGTGTTGAAATTTTTGTCCCATCCATACAAGTAGTAGTTTTTAATTCAGATTCTAGAAATTTCATATGCTTAAACATAGCACAAAAAGGACTTTCACATTAAAATGACATAAAAACATTATATTGCTAGCTGTGATTTCCTGAATTAATGTTACTAAATGCAAGCAGTATTTATTGTAGGTGAGGGAAGACATTTGAAAAAATTCTTTCATAATTGAAAAAGTAATGGTATAAGCTGCTAGAGAAATTTTTGAAGTCTCCAAAATTTTTGGACCATTATGTTAAAACCAGCATGCTTGCTTGTATTCGCCTACTATGATTCAATATTTACAGAGTTTAAAAAGTGTTATCACTACATGAATATAAGAACTGCAGCCACCTGGTAAATACTGCGTTTCCTCACTATCCCCCTTTTTATCTTTTTAGCTCTAGGTTCTGAAAATTTTTTAAATATATGCGTAATTTCCCTTTCCTCTGTTTTACATAAACCTTTCCTCTGAGGTTTGGTTTATAGGTAAATTATATTCCTTTGATTTTTTTTAAAAAAATTTATTCACCGTATTCAATTTGTATTTGTACTTTTTATTAGCATTTCATCCATTTTATTTTCCCTTGGATTTATTATTTGAAATGTATTTTGTGCAGATTCTTCATTAAGCTATTCAGATCTGGGAGGTTTTTCTCATACTTAATAACTTTCCAAATATGTGAGTTCACCTTACTTCTAGTGTTTTCCAGCTCAGTGTAGCCTTATTTATGATCTTTTATGCTGATCTTTTGAAATCCAGGTCTTTTATTCGCCTTTCTTCTGTGTTCCCCTGATGTCCCTCTTGGATAATGCTGTTATGATTCCCTCATATGAGATACCCCTGGAGCTTAAGAAGGTAATTCAGCAGAACACATCATGTTCGGCTCAATTACCATCAGATACTGGCTCAATATCTATCAGATATTATAATGTTAACGTTACTATGCATTCTTATTGGAAAGTAGGTTTCTTTTAAAGAAACAGCGTTGTGATAGTTACCAGTAGTTTATCTATGATTACTTTTCATTTGCCATGTTCTTACTGTAATCATGTTCTTCAGAAATTAAATTACCTGCAAAATTTTCCCTTCTTGATTTTGGATGATAAAATTAGTTAAAAGATAGGATATATGTGAGGAAATACTTTAACCAGTTTTCATTTTGCTGCCATTTGACATGAAATAAGGTTTCTAATTTATTTTTTAAATTATTAACAAATTAAGCAATTTAAAAGCAATAAACACACTTCTTAAAAATACATCTAATTAATAGTTAAGAACATCTGCTGTATCAGTGGTGGAAAGTGTTGGGTAGAGGCGAGTGAACTTTTTTTTCTTATGTGCATGCATATTAATTATGTTGGCGTAGCTGTCTCTTCTCCCGACACATTCGTCATTCGAGCATACGGAGATGGTGAGATAATATATGCTGTGTGTTCTTTTTATTCATTATTTGTGTAAACAAAGTGTGTTGTCCTAAGATGGCTTCTTTACTTTAAATATGGACCTCTGAACAACAAATGTAGCAGGTCCGTGGTTATATCAAGAGAAATTTGGTATAAAATACCAAATAGAAACCGAAACTGTCTTAGTGAAAGTCAGAAATGGAGAAGTGGAAAGTTCCTGAATTAAGTGGTGAGAAGTATTTTATTTGGGCATTGAAAATTAAAGCTGCCTTATCATTGAAAAGACTTATTAATAATACCAAATACCAAATAGACTGTAAACCAGAAACTTAGATGAGAAAGATGAAAGATTGCGGAATGAGAAAAACGCTGACGTTGTAGCATATATAAAATTTTCACTATCGAATCAACAGGCACTTCAGTTCTCCACAGAAGAGAATGCTAAAATTCTTTGGAAGAAAATAACATCAACATTTATGGGGCAAGCCGAAGACTGAAACAGGGTTGCCACTCAAACAGGAGAATGAAATTCCCTGACTTT